TTAAGACTAGTCAAGTGAAGCAGTGGGAATGGGGAAGGAACAAAGAAATCTGTAGCTGGTTGTGATCAATTAGTTGTAAACATTTTTTTTTTAAATGAGTTGTTTAATGCGCATCTCTGCTGTTATAAACATGTTTATTTTTTTAAATGAGTTATTTAATGAACATCTCTGCTGTTCCATTCTGAGCTCTGTAAGAGTAGGGTTGTATGTATTTTCCCTTTCACTATATAGCCACGCAGTAAAGCCTCATTTATTGAATGAATGTCCATCATGTGCTAAGTAATGTGCTAAAACTTCACATAAACTTTAATCCTTAAAATAGCCCTGTGAGGTATGTATTGTTTTGTCTATTTTAAAGATTAGAAAATTAGACTCCAAAAAATTACATAGTTTATCCATGATGCCATAGCTAATTGCATAGTTTATCCATGATATCATAGCTTTGCCACCTACTAGTGACGAGGCCAGAATTTAAACCCACTTTATAAACTAACTGTAAACTCTTCTTCCTTAACTACCTGAAGTTAAATGGCACTAATATTTTTGCTTAGTTTTCTCTGTGTAATTAACAGAATTTACTATTAACCAGAACTGTGTTAACTTATGGTTTTACATAACTGTATTCCTTTAATAAGTGACATTGACAACAGGATTCTGCAGCATACTCTGAATTATGAAGAAGAAAATGCGAAGGTTGGAATCAGAATTTTAGGTGAAGAGAGACCTGTAGAGATCAAAGCCTTGTGTTGTACAGATGGGAAACTGAGTCTAAAACAGTGGGGTACCTTGGTAAAAGTCATATGCTGGTGAACTAGAAGCTAGATCTCCAGATTCTCAGTCTGGAAATAGGATGCTACAATATCTCTATTCAGTTTAGGGTAGTTTCCAAGCGTATGTTTTTATATTCTTTTTTCTTTTGGACTCCCTAGCCCCAAAGACTTCTTACTTTACTGAATAATAAAGTAGTTACTTTATATAAAGGATAACTAGGTAAAGATACTAATTGGGGTAGTTCAGAAACATTATACCCTCCGTTGGTACTTTTTCCACTTGGCTAGTTCGTAATTGACTATCTCTTTAACTCTGTAAGATAAATAATAACAGTTAAATCTCCATCTTGCGTGTGATAAAGAGGTCTGATGAGAGTAAATGAATTGCCTAAGGTCACAGTGGTTTTTTACTTTATTCTTTTAGTTCTTTTTTTTGAGACAAGATCTGGCTCTGTTGTCCAGGCTAGGGTGCAGTGGTGTAATCTTGACTTACTGCAACCTCCACCTCCTGGGGCTCAAGCCATCCTCCCATCTCAACCTCCCAAGTAGCTGGGACTACAGGTGCACAGTTTTGTATCTTTTGTAGAGATGGGATTTTGCTTTGTTGCCTAGGCTGGCCTCGAACTCCTGAACTCAAGTGATCCACCCGCCTTGGCCTCCCAAAGTTCTAGGATGACGGGTGAGCCACCACATCCAGCCAACGGAGTGTTTTAAGGATGAAGCTGGACTCCTAGAGCATAGGTTAGCAAGCTGGCCAACAGTTTTAGTAAATAAATTTTTATTGAAACACAACCAAATTAATTCATTTACATATTATCTGTGGTGGTTTTCATGCTACAACATACTGTAATACAAAAGCAGAGTTTAGTAGTTGTGACAGACCTTATGGGCCACAAAGCCTAAATATTTACAGTTTGGCTATTTTTGGTTTTTGTTTTGTTTTTGAGACAGAGTCTTGTTCTGTCGCCCAGGCTGGAGTGCAGTGGTGCGTTCTCGGCTCACTGCAACCCTCGTGGGTTCAAGCGATTCTCCTGCCTCAGCCTCCCAAGTAGCTGGGATTACAGGCGCACACCACCACCCACAGCTGATTTTTGTATTTTTAGTAGAGACGGAATTTCTCCATGTTGGCCAGTCTGGTCTCAAACTCCTGGCCTCAAGTGGTACACCTGCCTCAGCCTCCCAAAGCGCTGGGATTACAGGCATGAGCCACTGCACTTGGCCCAGTTTGATCGTTTACCAAAAAGTTTGCTGGCCCCAGTTCTAGACTCTTGGCAGTGACACTGTACGAGTTTTTTCTACCTGGGAGAGTACATACTGCCTCTCAAGCTGTCCTTTCTTCACGGGTCATATTTAATAGGAAAGAATCTGTGTCTCTGTGGCTGTTATTCTGTAGAACGGGTGTTCTAAACTTGCCAGTCTACCAAAGATCCATACCAGTGTCTCTGGACGAAGGATTTAAAATTTTCGAAGTTAAGAATTACTGCAACAGAATATGTTGTGAGGTGGTGAAAATACATTAATCAACTAACAGTGGTAACTAGGATCAAGCATGAGTTCATTTTATAACACTGCTCTCTGGAGCTTTTAAAACAACCATATATTCTGTATTAGATGCTTTGGATTCTGAAAATAGAGTGCAAAGATCTAGATCAGTGATTCTCAAAGTGTGGTCCCGATACCAGCAACACCCACATGGCCTGGAAACTTGTTAGAAAGTACAAATTCTCAGTCTCTACCCCATACCTGCAGATCAGTAATTCTAGGGACAAGGCCCAGCCATCTGTGTTTTTAATGAGACCTTCAGGTGATTCTAATGCACACTAAAGCTTGTGAACCACAAGGGGACCTCAGAATTTTTGTTTCTTGCCAAATCTTAAATAATCCTGATGCTGCCAGTCTGGGGACCATGCTTTGAGAACCGCTGCTCTGAATACTAGAAATAAAAAATAGGGTATAGGCCAAGAAAATAGCTTTTTGAGTCCATAAGATCCTGTTGAGAATCTTGATTTTGATGAGCGTAAAATGGGCATTGTTGGACAATTTTACTTCAAAATTTAAATTTTAAAAATGCATACATGTATGTATCTATATGTATTTTTTTCCTCTAAGGAAAGAAGAGGGCAGACAGAGATGAAGTGTCCCTTATACCCTTTCAAAGTCCCATTTCTCTCTTTCCTTCTATTAGAGAGAACCACTCTACTGAATTTGGTGTATATCACATGCATGTTTTTATAATTACAAGTTCTGTATAAATCTGTAAGCAGTGTATGTTTACACATTTTTATACTTACCTCGTAACAGATAATTGTTCTGCAACTTTTTCTCCAGACTTTGTTTCTGAACGTTATCCATGTTGATACAATATCATTTTAGCTCATTTATTTTACCTGTTATGTAAATACGACATAATTTATTAATCCATTTTCCTTTTAATAGGCATTGGATTATTCCTATTTTTTACTATTTTAAACAATGCTGCAGTAATCTTGTACCAAGTCTCCATGTAGACCGTACGACAGGAAATTTCTCTGGTATATGCACAGGCAGTAGCAGTTGAGAAGTAGAATAAAGGCTTTGCTAGCTTTGATAGATATTGCTAATTGCTCTGCTAAGGATTGTTCCTATTCACCCAATTGCAAGGTATGAAAATCCCATTTCTCTACATTTTTATCAAAACCTGACATTTCAGACATTTTAAATGTTGCCAAAGAGAGGTGAAATAACTTCTAGTTTTTAAATCTATAATTACCCAAGTTCCAGGGAGCTTGAGCTAGTTCTCATGTTCTCAACATTTCACGTTTCTTATTCTGTGAGTTACCTGTAATGTCGCTTATCTGTTTCCTTTTTGGATTTTTTGCCTTTTTGCATAGATTTATAGATGCTCTTTATGGAATCTTTCTTAATGTTTTATAAGTTGTGTTTCAAGTACTTTATTTCAGTCTATCGTTAGATTTTTAACTTGGTTCATGGATTTTGTTGAGGTACCGAAATTTATCAACTTAATATCAAATGTATCAAGTTTTTCCTTAAAACTGTATTCTTTTTTTTTTTTTTTTTGAGATGGAGTCTTGCACTCTCGCCCAGGCTGGAGTGCAGTGGTGCGATCTCGGCTCACTGCAAGCTCCGCCCCCTGGGTTCATGCCATTCTCCTGCCTCAGCCTCCCGAGTATCTGGGACTACAGGCGCCTGCCACCACACCCGGCTAATTTTTTTTGTATTTTTAGTGGAGACGGGATTTCACCATGTTAGCTAGGATGGTCTCGATCTCCTGACCTCGTGATCCACCCACCTCGGCCTCCCAAAGTGCTGGGATTACGGGCTTGAGCCACTGTGCCCGTCCAAAAATTTATTCTTTTTATATCTTATTTAAGAAAGTCTTTTTCTATTCTTGGGTCTTAAAGATACTTTCATCTGAAGTTCTGAAGCTTTACTTTGTACATTTAAGTCTTTATCTGGAATTCACTTTTGTGTATGGCATGAAGTAGAACTCAAATTCTATTTTCTCTTTTCAGGTAACCAGTTGTCTCAGTACCACCCTTTTGTCATTGACTTATAATCACCTCTGTGATATACTAAGATTATTCTATGTACATGGGTCTGTTTCTGTACTCTGATCTCTTCTGTTGGTTTAGTTGTCTGTCAGACCCACATTGTCTTATTATCACGTTACACAAATAATATCTGGTAAGACATATCATCTTATTCTGACCTTTTTCAAAACTATTGTGTTCTTAATCGTTCACTCTTCAAGGTAAATTAATGTAATTGGCATGTCGAATTCCATGAAAATTTTTGTTTTTAAATTTCAATGGGCATTACATCGAATGTATTGATAACTTGAGAGAGGATTGACTCTTTCAATTCATGAACATAGTATATCTCCTTTATTCAGGCCTTCTGCTGTGACCTTCAATATGTTCAATAATGTTTCAGTTTTTCCCAAAAGGTTTTGGGTATCTTTTATTAGATTTATTTCTATACACACTATGTTGCTCTTTTGGATAGTATTGTTTTTCTAACTGGTTATTTCTGGCATAGAGACGCCTTTTTTTTTTTCCTTTGTGAACATATTATTCTCTCCTTTTCCAGTAGATGTCAGTAAAATACATTGAGTTCATTATTAAGAATATTTTCTTTGCAATGATGTCTTTTTACCCCTTAAAATGATTTGTGTATTTAAAGATATTGGTTCTGAAATATTTCTAAATTATCTCCCTTTGTTCCATTTAGGAGGATAAAAAGAAGCGAGATCGAGACCGGGTGGAGAATGAGGCAGAAAAAGACCTCCAGTGTCATGCCCCTGTGAGATTAGACTTGCCCCCTGAGAAGCCTCTCACAAGCTCTTTAGCCAAACAAGAAGGTTGGAATAACTCTGAATTAACTATCCTGAATGAGGATGCTGCAATTATTATAGCTCAGGAAAATAGTGGGGTTTTAGCTCCTAAGTTGGAGCTTTGTAATTGAATTTTTAAGTTTTTTCTCTCAAACTGCATAAGAGCTTTAAATTAGCTTCAATTTTGGATTGATACTCTCAAAACTTCAATATATTTTTAAGATAAATGGAATTTCTGTATGAGGTATTTAATAATGGCTATTATTAAATAGAAAATGATCTAGTAAATAATACTCTCTAGAATACTCCTTTTTAAAACACCCTTTTCCCTTCTTCTTTGCTTTAGAAGTAGAACAGACGCCCCTTCAAGAAGCTTTGAATCAACTGATGAGACAATTGCAGAGGTAAGTGTTTTTCCAATATTTTTATAACACAGAAATTAAAATGGTAAATGTGTAGCATCCAAACCACATTGTGCCTAACTCCAAACATACTTGATTTTAGTGAATGATAAATATTTTGCCTGGCAGCAGAAGTACTCCAAGAGGCTAACTTTTAGATATTCTTTATTTGGTTTGTTTCCCTAGCAACTTGAAGGGTGTTACATAATACTTTTAATGACAAATTTCTGTCTCTAAAGTAATTTCTGATGTTAAAACTTTAAGCCAGGAATAAACAATACAGCTATTTCCACTTTGCTAATTGATAGAAATACCTTCTGTGTATTTGTACAATGCTTATCATGCCATGAATGTTTAACAGTTATTAAGTATGGGAGAAAAAATAAAACACCATGAATAGGAATTATGGCCTTCTTTTAAAAGCAGAAATTTGTTTTTAAAATTTCAGTGCCTAGATTAAGCCAATGTTGAGTTCTTAAAAGGGAAAAGAATAACTCAGTCTTTATAAAACATTTATTTTGGGACGGGTGCTGTGGCTCACGCCTGTAATCCCAGCACTTTGGGAGGCCGAGGTGGGCGGATCACGGGGTCAGGAGATGGAGACCATCCTGGCTAACACGGTGAAACCCCATTTCTACTCAAAAATACAAAAAAATTTGCCGAGCATGGTGGCGGGCGCCTATAGTCCCAGCTATTCGGGAGACTGAGGCAGGAGAATGGTGTGAACCTGGGAGGTGGAGCTTGCAGTGAGCTGAGATTGCGCCACTGCACTTCAGCCTGAGCGACAGAGCAAGACTCCGTCTCAAAAAAGTAAAATAATAAAATAAATAAATAAAAATAAATATTTATTTTGATACCTCTCTTTACTCAAACATATTTACGTTATTTGCAAAGGGTTTATGGTTGTAGAGCATACATTTTTACAGTGGACTTTCTTTCATTGTATTGAACTTAAGTCAACCCAGAACACATTGTAAATAATTTTTCTCTAATGTAATCTGTATTCAATGCCTGTTTAGGTTTGCAGTTAAGATCAGAAGTTAGCCGAGTATAGTAGCTCACACCTATAATCCCAGCACTTTTTGGGAGGCTGAGGTGGGAGGATCACTTGAGGCCAAGAGTTTAAGACCAGCCTGGACAACATAGTGAGACCCCATCTCTACAAAAAAAATAAAAATCCTAGTGTGGTTGCACACACCTGTAGTCCCAGCTGCTCCAGAGACTGAGGTGGAAGGATCACTTGAGCCCAAGAGGTTGAGGCTGCAGTGAGCTGTGATAGCACCATTGCACTCCAGCCTGGGCAGCAGAATGAGACCTTTTCTAAAAAAAAAAAAAGAACTTACTGGTCTCTCTTCTTTTTTGGTGTTTGAGAAAAATTAATCTCTAGTCTTTATATTTAAATAACTCATTCATTACTTCACTACTTGTCCAAAGGGAGTGAATAGGTATTGTGTATTCCATTGCAGTTTACAAGGTGTGACTGTAAATGTCATGACTGCTTTACAGTTTTTCTTGCAACATAAGACCAGAATGTAAGTTAATGATGTCACCTTAAAATAAATGACTTAATTAAAAGAAGACATTCAAATGGCCAATAGGTATATGAAAAAATGCTCACCATCACTAATAATCAGAGAAATGCAAGTCAAAATCACCGTGAGATACCACCTCACCCCAATTAGAATGCCTGTTATCAAAAGACAAAAAAAAGAAAAGCTGGCAAGAATGTGGTAGAGAAAGGGAAATTGTATATATTGTTGGTGGGAATGTAAATTAGTATCGCTATTATGGACAACAGTATGGAGGTTCCTCAAAAAGTTAAAAATAGAACTGCCATATGATCCAACAATTCATCTACTGGGTATATATCCAAAGGAAATGAAATCAGTATGTCCAGGAAATACCTGTACTCTCGTGTTAATTGCAGTGCTATTCATCGTAGCCAAGATGGAATCAGTCTAAGTGCCCATCAATGGATGAATGCATTTTTTAAAATGTGGTATATATACACAATGGAATATTAATTCCACCATTAAAAAGAATGAAATACTATCATTTGTAACAACATGAATGAACCTAGAGGACATCATGTTAAATGAAATAAGCCAAACACAGAAGAACAAATACTGTGCAATCCTTTTGTAGTTCATAAGTGAAATGATTGGGTTTTCATGTTCCTTTGTGAGATATACCACCCTCAAACTTTGTTACAGCGTCAGCACATTACCAATCTGATGTGAAGACAGAAAATATGGTGAGGGCACAAATATGACATCATCTCATTCATGTGGGATCTTAAAAAGTTGATTTCATAGAAGTAGAGAGTAGAACAGTGTTTACCAGAGGCGAGGGAAAGGTAGAGGTGGTCAGCAGGTACAGAATTACAGTTAGATAAGAGGAATAAGCTCTGGTGTTCTGTTGCACAGTAAGGTGACAGCAGTCCACAACCATTTATTATATACATCAGAATAGCTAAAAGAAAGGATTTTGAATGTTCTGATCCCAAAGAAATAACAAGTGTTTAGGGTGATAAATATGCTAATTACCCTGATTTGATCATTACACAGTGATACTGAAGTATCCTTGTATATATGTATGTCAGTATATGTGTGTCGAAACGTCATACTGTACCCTCTAAATATGTGCAATTATTATATGTCAATTAGAAACAAAATCTTAATGAAAAGAAAACACTTGAGAAAGTATTTCTTAGTCTAAAGACGTTAGCATTGTTAAAAACATTTTGGGAATTAGATCCCAGAGCCACACTGTTTTTGATTAGTTTTAGTGATTAGATGATTCCTTATCCTTACCAGGAGCTAAGCCTGGTTAAAAAAAAAAAAAAAAATCTAGTTGATCAAGTTTGATAATAGCATTTTTGGTCAAAACTAGACGGGGCTCTGTATTAAAATGATTGACCTAGGAGTTAGATAATTTCCTCCAAAGGGTAGCTTCAGAAGGCCACCCAGAAATGAATGCTGCCATTACGGTAAGTCCTGTGGACGGTGCACATTTTGATGTATAGGTCCTGACTGGGTATTTTTGCTTGTTGTCATTTTTCAGTCTCATTGCTTAGGCACCCTGCTCTGAAAAACGAAGGCAGATTCACATAGACCTGAATCAGATTTCAACTCTTATTTAATGCATGGCTTAGGATAAATAATTTCAACCTCACTGAACCTCAGTATCCTCCAGTGGTGGAGGATACCACCACTTTGATGGCTTTTGTGAGGATTAGATATAAAATATGTCAAGTGCCTGCCACTTGGACTAGCAACATGGTAAATATGTTTTTAAAGTTGTTGTTATTTTTTAAACCATATTTTTACTGTTATTCTGTGGAGTAAGAAAACTCTTGGTATGCCAGATTTCCAGAAGGAAAAAAAAAATCAGCATGATTTAATCATATAAAGCACTCGTTCTCAACCTGACAGTACTGGAAATACAAATGCCAAATACTCAAATCCCAATGCCAATACTCACCTGTGAAAATATCACTGCCTTTTTCCCCAAGAGCTTCTGATACAGTGGGTCTAAGCTGAGTCTTCCTTCCGCTTCTTCCCTGCATTGGAATTTTTTTAAAGCTCCTGTGTGATTCTAATGTATAGCCAGTGTTGAGAATCTGTGATGAAGAGCACTAGTTTTCAAATTTGGGTTTCTGATTTTGGGGTTTTTTTGGTCTAGTCCTGTTTTGGCACACATATGGAGGTATAAAGAGGAGCTTTTTAATGTCAGTTTTTTTTTAGCATCCCCCACATATGCATGATAGAAGTTATATCCATTGATGGAGAAAATAGACATACATGGACCAGAAATGCAAGCCTATTAGAAGTTAATATGGAGGATTGTAGATGTATGTTAATAGTTACTATTTCAGCCTTTTCCCCTTTAGTTAATTAAAAATACGCAGTGCTGAACTCCCAAAGGTTAAAACACTGGTCAGTTAGTTGAGGTTTATTTTGCTTCATTTTTTCCTATATAGGTGGAGCTGTTAATGAGGCTTTGTATTTTATAAGAAAGAAATCTCCATCCTGAGGGTACAGCTAGTATGTAAAACTTACTTGTTATTAAATAGTTAATAGACTTTAAAATCATTTCTTCAGTTTTCAGTTAAAAATATGTTAACATATTACAAATTCTTTCTGCATCTGAAGGGTTTCCTCTGACTTATGCTCCTAAACCGTTAGATTTGTTTGTAATAGAATAAAATATAACATTGTCTTTTGCATATCTTCACAGAAAAGATCCAAGTGCTTTCTTTTCGTTTCCCGTGACTGATTTTATTGCTCCTGGCTACTCCATGATCATTAAACACCCAATGGATTTTAGTACCATGAAAGAAAAGATCAAGAACAATGACTATCAGTCCATAGAAGAACTAAAGGTAACTCTTCAGTCCCATATACACAAAATCTTGGTAGAAATCTGCATATCTGATATTCAGAATCTTTCTCATTGACCTTTTATTTTGCAAAGAATTGAGTTTATTTTAAGATCCAGTATCTCTGTGTTTTTTTTGCTTCAGAAAACTTTTTATGAGCTTGGTGATGGAAAACCAGATGAAATAGGTCATCTGATATCTTTCATTCATAATTATTTTTGTCTTTAGTGAAATTTTGAGTTTGATATGTGTTCCACAGTATATTTTTTCCAACCTTAGAGTGAAATTTTTAGCTTTAGATCAATACAAGTAAAATTAATATTTTAAAGAAAGTTGAGGGTTTTTTCTATTTCTAGACATATAAGGTATGCATATTGTATTAGTCCATTCTTACACTGCTATAAAGAACTGCCTGAGAGTGGGTAATTTATGACAAAAAGAGCTTTAATTGGCTCACAGTTCCACAGGCTGTACAGCAGACGTGGCTGGAGAGGCCCATGGAAACTTACAGTTGTAGTGGAACATGAAGGGGAAGCAAGCACATCTTCACATGGCAGCAGGAGAGAGTGAAGGGAAAAGTGCTACAAACTTTCTTTTTTTTTTTTTTAGATGGTTTACATTTTTTTAATTAAGTTGTGTTTTTTTGTTTGTTTTAATTTAAGTTCTAGGGTACATGTGCACAACATGCAGGTTTGTTACATATATATACGTGTGCCATGTTGATGTGCTGCACCCATTAACTCGTCATTTACATTAGGTATATCTCCTAATGCCATCCCTCCCCCCTCCCCTGACCCCACAACAAGCCCCAGTGTGTGATGTTCCCCACCCTGTGTCCAGGTGTTTTCATTGTTCACTTCCCACCTCTGAGGGAGAACATGCGGTGTCTGGTTTTCTGTTCCTGTGTTAGTTTACTAAGAATGATGGTTTCCAGAGTCATCCATGTCCCTACAAAGGACGTGAACTCATCGTTTTTTATGGCTGCATAGTATTCCATGGTATGTGTGTGCCACATTTTCTTAATCCAGTCTGTCATTGATGGACATTTGGGTTGGTTCCAAGTCTTTGCTATTGTGAATAGTGCCGCAGTAAACATACGTGTGCACGTGTCTTTATAGCAGAATGATTTATAATCCTTGGGGTATATACCCAGTAATGGGATGGCTGTATCAAATAGTATTTCTAGTTCCAGATCCTTAAGGAATCGCCACACTGTCTTCCACAATGGTTGAACTAGTTTACAGTCCCACTAACAGTGAAAAAGTGTTCCTGTTTCTCCACATCCTCTCCAGCACCTGTTGTTTCCTGACTTTTTAATGATCGCCATTCTGACTGGTGTGAGATAGTATCTCATTGTGGTTTTCATTTGCATTTCTCTGATGGCCAGTGATAATGAGCATTTTTTCATGTGTCTGTTGGCTGCATAAATGTCTTCTTTTGAGACGTGTCTGTTCATATCCTTCACTCATTTTTTAATGGGGTTGTTTGATTTTTTCTTGTAAGTTTGTTTGAGTTCTTTGTAGTTTCTAGATATTAGCCCTTTGTCAGATGAGTTGATTTTCCCCCATTCTGTAGGTTGCCTGTTCACTGTGATGGTAATTTCTTCTGTTGTGCAGAAACTTTTTAGTTTCATTAGATCCCGTTTGTCAATTTTGGCTTTTGTTGCCATTGCTTTTGTTGTTTTAGTCATGAAGTCCTTGCCCATGCCTGTGTTCTGAATGGTATTGCCTAGGTTTTCTTCTAGGGTTTTTATGGTTTTAGGTCTCACATTTAAGTCTTTAATCCATCTTGAATTAATTTTTGTATAAGGTGTAAGGAAGGAATCCAGTTTCAGCTTTCTACATATGGCTAGCCAATTTTC